CTCCTTCTCGATATAAAGTTCTGCGATGTATGGAACAATTTCGTTCCATACATCATACATTATCTCCAGAGTTTCATCATCCACCACTGGGGAGACATTATAAGAGCTCCGGCCACAAGGTTGGCGGAGAAATATATTCAACTTGAACAACCCCCTATCGACCCCCATATATTGATAAATTCTATCCACCAACTCATCATATCCAATTTTGGATCGTAATGAGAATGTACAGTTGCACGTACGAGGCAAGTAACAAATTGACCCATCCTCGTAGTGTATTCTACCTCCCCAATAAAGAGACACTCGCACAGGTCTTTCTATAGACATACGTGTGAAAAGAATCCCTATTTTGAAATAAAATAAGTTAGCTCATGTGGTACAAGAATATATAACAAATAACAATCCCTACTTTTTTATGTGGTCCAAATTTACCACTGAATTACCCAGGAAAAATGCAACAAAATAGCACAACCCACATCATTTTTTCATCCAAATTTCACACCAAATCTAAACTTTGCATCACATTCAACTATGTAGGTATAGTTTTATTATCCTCTTATTTTTTGCATATATAATGGTTAGAATGATAAGGATAATTTAAACAGAGGTTAACGTAAGAAGACTAAAAATCGAGAAAAGGGGTGTTTAGGGAATTAATAATAACTAGAATTGTCAAATCATAAATAGTTTATATTTTCCCACTGTTTTTAGCAAAAGGTATAGGTTCCAAATAGCGATACTAAATATAGGATTGGTATAAAAGACAAAAGTAGTGGAGCGGGAATATTAAGCATTTTCACTTCAAACCTTGCCTTTACCTTCATAAATGTTAGCTTTAGTAAGAGGTGTGTAATATAAAGTTCGTACACAGGGTTTAAAAATTTGTAAGGATAAGGGTGCGTAAATTCAAGTATAATTGTTTGAGTAGTTCTTGTCATTAATAACAAGTTGGCATGAAATTAGCCCCTTTGTAGAATATCTTTTTTTTTCATCACAATTTAAGAATTTTCTCATATTTTAGTAGTACAAGCAAATGTGATACATGCTTGTCTTGTATACATATTTTTAGTTCTATACCTAAGTTAATATTCCCTCTAACCGCCTATACATTATTACGCATCATGCCAAAATGTTAGTCAAGAATTCCTAATTAAATGGAGTATAAGTTTATTAAATGTAGGCAGATATCTTGTTTTATTTAACGTTTCCAAGCACCCCCCCTTTTGAGTCCATATTGTCGCCAATTTGTCTTATTATACTCTTAAGGCAATAACTAATCAAAAACACCCAAAAATATTTTAAAAAAATTTTGACAGAGTTTCCCCTGTAACTGGCTAAAACTCCCTGCCAACCAACATAGGCACATCGATTTTCAAACAATTGAGAAATATGAGATAATTTACACCACTGCAAATACGGTAGAATAATTTCATATACAATAATTTCTTATAGAAGACAAGGAACTGTGATATTTGACAAACCTACAATAATAATATAATGTATATAGTAGAGTGTGAAACAACAATAATTTCTTATACTCCCCTGTCAACCAACATAACATGCAATTAAAAAATATACTACAGTAGAGGGTCTCACTTTACATTCATGAATTCACCATAAAACGAATCCAAGCAAAGTTCAAAAAATTAGAACATTAATATGACTACAATTAAATCTACTTGTAAACTACATGACTTACCCAATGATTTGCCTCAGATTCTGAAGATGCACTTGTGCGTACAACTTCCTAGTGGTACCAATCAAAGCCTCTTCAAGTCTCCTGGCTTGTGTCGAAAACTTTGTATGCACCTACATGAATATGATGGAGATCACAGAAAACCAAGATAAGGTACTGGAGCAGAGGATCTGGGGTGCAATGAGGGATTTGTTCAGATGAACCACCTCGTTCCCGTAGATCTTGCTTGTTCCGATATACCTTTTTGGATCTATTCCCCCAATTTCAAAGAAAATATGCGTTGGTAAACTAAATAACATAGGTATAGAAAACATACTTATAGAAAATAAAAAAGGTCCACGAAGGGGGTTACTTTGGTGTCCTATTCCGACAAGGGAGGTGTTCGCATTCTATAAATGCGATCTGTGCTAGGTTCGCATTTCTCATATGCGAGTCTTACAGTTTATGCTCTTTACCATTTCTTTCATTTTTGATGCCCAACAATTTAACTATGGCTTGAATCTGATATATATAGCATCATTTTCATATCGACAATTAGCAAGTAATGGTTATAGTCAGTCCATTAAAAAGAAAATAAACAAAAAAAGTTTTGCTGCTACCAAGCCATATTTTTAATTACTTTTCCTGAGTAAAAGCAAAATGTATGAGCACAAAACCTGAACTCGCATTTCACAAATGCGAAAATCACATTTATGGAACCAACTTCACAAATCACCCCCTTTGTAGAATAATTTTTTTTTTTCATCACAATTTAAGAATTTTCTCCAGAGTTTGCAGGAAAGTGTGATGGATCCTAAAGCTAGCATGGATAGCATGAGGGTGCCAGTACTTCCAAGTACAGATGCCCCTAGTAGCAGTAAAAGTAGAAATTATACTAGAAGCTACTCAGATACCGTAGACTATGATAAAACACATAGCAGTCAAATGTGTAGACATTGTAATAGCATGATAGCCCACCAACTAGGCAGATCCTCTGCTCCATTTCTGTAAAAAAAACTGGGCAACTTCATGAAGCCTATCAGACCATATGCTTAAGGAAAACTTTAACTAAGTCCAAACCTATAAACCAATTAAGCAATACTGTAATCACCACATGCGACAACTAATATCTTTGAGGCAGGGTGTTTTAGACTAAATACTAAGAAAGCCAGGACAAAGTTTCTTTGCAGCTTCGGCATGGCTTCTTAAAGATTTTATTTTTTTGGTAGGCTAGCTAGCTACTTAGAACTTGGCATTAACTAGCTATGGTTCTTAGATTGCTGCTTTTCCTTTTTTTTCTCTTTCATGTTTCTGGAATGCAATATTGATTGCTGTTTTTCCTTTTTTTCTCTTTCATGTTTCTGCAATACAATATTGATCCACGTTAATCCCATGTTGCCTCCACATGAAAGCAATAGCTAACTGCTAACCTCCAGCAAAATTAATCAAAATAAAAGAAAAAGTATGTGGATGCAACCGCATTGTTTTTCTTTTTTTCGTAAAAGACTGACCTCGCATTTGTGAAATGCGAAGTATCAGAACTCGCATTTCACAAATGCGAAGATCACAAGTCTCAAAAATTACCCCCTTTGTAGAATAACTTTTTTTTTTCATCACACTTTAAGAATTTTCTCCATAAATGTTAGCTTTAGTAAATGGTGCTTAATATAAACTTCGTATACAGGGTTTAAAAATTTGGAAGGATAAGAGTGCTTAAATTCAAGTATAATTGTTTGAGTAGTTGTTGTCATTATGGACTTAGATTTTTTTTTTCCAACATTTGATTTGTCCAAAACATTGTTACACCATTAAGGATAACTTAATAACAACTTGGCATAAGAAGATTAAGTAATTAACATGCTTCAATTGCAAAAATGAAAAATGAAAAGGATAGACAAAGAATTAATGGATAAATTCGAAAGTGTGTAAATAAATTGTTTTTATTTTAATTTTTTGTAAGTGCATAAACAAATTCTTACTCCATTTATTTTTCAAAGTACAGACAGCAACAGGGGAAAAAATTCAAAGGATAGCATGATCTTAAAAGTTATATCAGATTTACTTGCTAGATCTTTAATTGCTAGATCAAAAAAAATTTATTATATGAGGATATTCAAGCACTCCTGCGCATTGTGTGCACGTAAAAAGATTCCTGTCCTTTATGAATTTTCATAGCATGATTCATCTTTAAGGTATCTGACATGCTATCTTCTTTATTGTCTACATTTATCATTACACCAACCGAAACTTAGGACAGCCCATTCTTGTAATCAACCACAAGAAGAAACTTAGCTCCGATAACAAGCAATGTACAATGTCACAAATAAATTGCCAACCGAAACAACAACAATGTCCAATAAATTACCAAATCATAAAAGCCACTTCAATTCGTAAAAACAAAAAATCCCAGAAAAAAATTAAAACTCAGAAAAAAAAAAATCTTACCTCTTATGCTGTTTCTGGTGAAAGGAATGGCAAATGGAGAAAGACGGATGCCGGACTTAAATGGAGCTAGCTACCAGAGATGGGTTCCCAAAGGGGAAGCTCTGCAATGGCAGAGAGCTTCCGATGACAGCTTCGGACGGGAAGAAATGCCGCCTTTCTGGTTTCGCCTGAGGAGAAACGCCGTAACTCTACAACATTGCAGAGCTTCCGAGGAGAAGGCCGACAGATTCCGACGACAAAGCTGTGGCTCTGCTTTCCGATGACAAAGCTCAGACCAAGATAATTTTGAGAGTGAAAGGCTGCATGGAAAGAGTACAGGTAGCCACGACGGAAGAGAAATGCGAAATTGGGAAGTCTGATTGATTTCAAATTGAGTACCTCGCATTTATGAAATGCGAGGTCCCTAATCTCGCATTCTCCTAATGCGAGCTGAGTAAGCTCGCATTTGGAGAATGCGATCTTCTTTTTCTTTTTTCGTGAAAAGACTTACCTCGCATTTCACAAATGCGAGGTACCTGAACTCGCATTTCACAAATGCGAAAATCACAAGTCAGGAACCAACTCCACAAATTACCCCCTTTGTAGAATAACTTTTTTTTTTCATCACAATTTAAGAATTTTCTCAAACTTCTGCACATATCGATTATTTAGCAAAAATTGCATTTCAAACCATATAATTTTTTCCTCTTTGTGAAGTCTTATGTTATCCAATTTTGAATCCTATTTCTGGCCAACATGTATAGAATCAGTTAGGGAGATCTATTACTTGATAACTGTAGTAACTAGCACTGAATCTATCTTCAATACTTCATACTTGCGCTTCGTAAGCTTTTTCCCTGATTATTGCAGCCTACTTAGTGTAAACAATCTCACACCTCAGTTGCCAATGGAACTCAATAACCTGAAAAATTTGACAGAACTGAATGTTTAACTTGAATGCCTATACAGTAAAATACATGTTCACGTGTTCCGATGAAACATTGTTAACGTTTTCATCTTCCTTAATGTAAACTCTTCTTGGCTTCTGGACAGTGCAGTAGGCTAAGCAGTAAGAACTTCGCCAGAAACTAGCCTGTTTTTTCAAGATGGAAAAATCTACAAAATTTGTAGGCCTGTATCTCAAAATATCTACAAAAATTGTAAGCCTGTTTTTTCAGGTCAGCATACTCTATCCACTCCTTGTGCCAACTGAGATGAGAGAGAGGAGGGGTGATTCTTTACCATTTTTTATAGGTTTTTGGAGTGCCATTGAAGTAAACGGAGTGGGACAATGGTTCCCCAAATGCATGGAGATCCTCATATAGCAGACGAGTATCAAGGCCATACAAGTGCCAGTCATCGGATACAACCAAGAACCCCATGTCGTGTATCTTTCGAGCCAATGATTCAGGATCAAAATAAGTGATATAATGCCTCTCAGTCGGATCAGGAATTATATATACTTTTGCATTCACTAATCCTGATTTCTTGAATCTGCTCAAGAACCACATATGCTCATGAGACCAAACTTCTATTTTGTATATCTGTCCAGTAGCAATGTTGTTAAAGCCCGACAGTAGAGCAAATTGCCTGTTGTACGAGACCTCGTGTGGCTTCACAACAAAAATATTCCTTTCCTTTTTCCTACGCAGTGCCTCTTTGTAGGATGTTTGGTGGCTGTAGAAGTCCTTGTTGATTCTCCCGAACCTCCTCCCCATAATCTTTCTCCGAATAGATGAGAGTTTTTGTGCATCTGAACTTCCTATCTACATCCGAATGGTCAGATACCTCTTTATCCTATTAAACAGAGAGCCTAAAAAAAATAACTTTTAGAAACACGCGTATAACTGTCACAAATATACAAATTGAAAACAGATTCTACCTCTTATTCCCTGCTTCCATAACATATTGGGCTGGTTGAGCCAACATCATATGCCGGCAATGTTTTCGAAGGAAAAGATTATCTTTTCTACCCTTCGTCATCTGCTTCATCAGCTGCAACATTTCAGCCTTGGACCAAACAAAATGAGGTGTGAGGTCAGCCAAGTCTTTGTTAGGAATCCGAAGACCATCCATCTGCTTCAAAAAGAAATCATCAGCTATATATTGTGCTAGGACTAATATTTGAAGTTGACAACATAGTACAACTGTTTTGCATTAATCACACGCACAATGCAAAACATAACATAGACACGTCTGTACCTACTTTCTTGAAAAATAAAAAGGAAACCAAAAAATTATGAGATCCAATATGCTTCCTTAAATGGTGCCCTAAAATTAAATCACCCATAGATTAGGACCACAAGAAGCAGAGAACCTGAAATATCCACGTACTAATCTATCATCGACTAGTGTAGTACTACTTCAAGAATGGTGACTGAAAAATCACCAATTTAGAACAATAGCACCTCACAAAAAGTAAGAAACCAAGGGATTCCAAAAGAAACTTGGAAAGACTCTGTATATCCTATATTCTAAGGTTGTAGGATGCTCTAAATATTGATCTATAACCTAGGACTAAAATCTTCTTTCACATACATTCATATCCTATACTTTCAGAGATTTTTCATTTTCCAAATTCATGATACCATTCAAATCATATAGGCAGATTCACATTCTGAAATTTGAAATAAAATAACAGATCCCAGAAAATACCAACTAAAAAAAATTAACAATCTAGAGCAAGCTTCAAGGGACACCAACTAAATATGCTCCAAAATTGAGCTCACAAAGTTAAATTTCAATTAGCACGGGAAATTCCCTACTAACAAACGAGTATCAGGGGTCATTGAATTAAAACGCATAATTGAAAAGCATGACAATTACAAGAACACTTACATGAATAAACTTATGCTTTATTAAGTAGAGGTAATAGAGAATCTTGAGAAATGAACTTGTTGCAAAGCGGCACGCACATCAAAAGTTGTAGACATTTTAAGGAAAAATAAAAACACATAATTTATCGTGAAAAAGAAGATATCATTCATCAAAGCTGACTGAAGGAGGACCCTCAAGTTAAAAACAAGATCACGCAATGAAACCAGTGAATGCTCACCGGAACAAGGAAAGTAAACTATAATTCATAAGAGAAAAATTTAAGAGGAAATAAGAGAAACTAAAAATTCCAAGCTTATTTCTTCTTTCTCTAAGCTATAAAATGTTACTCCTGACTGGACAATGATTTGCATAAAAAAGTTATTAATCTGCAGCTAGTTACAATTTACAATCTTAATATCCTATAACAGAAAAAAGGTCAATTTGAACCACTCATGTCTGGTATGCTTCTAGGCATGTATTACCTGAATTGTGAATTATATATCCATCTATACCTACACCACTTCTTTTAACTGATATTATAGACTAAACCACTCGCTGAAAGATCAGAACAAGAATAAACTTGCAGTTGCAGCAACAGATAAAGTTTACTAGTTGAGGAGTAACTACCGACAACTGCATCCTACATATGGCCTTAGTCTCGAACCTATCATTGAAAATTAACAAGTAAATCTGATAGTTTCAGTGCAGAAAGTTCCATATCACGTTTCTCTAGTAACTTAGTGATTATGTGGTGACAGAACAAAAAGGACTTTCCAAGGAATCTGAGCTAAGGGTCCTCATAGTGGCTCATTATCAAAGAGAAAACAGATAGGCAATCCATGTTCTCCTACAGAAAAGATATCAACAGCAGCCTAAACCAAAAAGCTGCTTAGTTCCCTTGAATAAGCATCTAATTACACAAGCAGCAGCCTCTCAGATTCACACTAGCTGTATAAGATGTGGAGAAAAATTTAATCAACGATACTTGTGATAGGAGAGTATTTGGATGCTACCAATGAAATGGCTTGATATCAAGGAGAAGTAGAAATGAGATCCATGTTGTGCTACAGCACAAATATTGGATTCAAGAAGCAAATACAGGCTAAACTAAAAAGGCCACTTTGCTCTTTAACATTCACACTAGCTGGTACTGTGTATGGAGAAAGACTTAATCAACAAGACTTGTGGTTGCAATGTATCCTGATGCCACAAACCAAATACAATTAGTTTTAGATAACTAATTTTTGTACAAGGGTATGTTTGAAACGAAGAATACATGATCATGTTTAATTGTGAACAAAAAAATGAACCAATGTCAAAGAAAACACAAGGAATGGATCTTTTTCCTTTATGTTTCCAATTATATACATCGAACAAGATATGATTCTGCATCACAAAGATTCAGGCAAGATGTATCTATCAACTTCAATCTCACAACTAAAACAACAAAAAGTAGTGCCAACAGGGAATAACAAATCCCAAGAGCTTCTTGTCTTTGGGCAACTTTGCTGGATGTAGCTTATTTTAAACTTAACTAATAAAACAAAATGATCTTTAATTCTAAACGACACAGTATAAAAATACAAAGAAGAATTTAAACATGAATCAATCCTCCTCTAAGCTTATTAATCCTAAATTGTGATTCTGCAACATGATAATTCAAAACCCATTTACTAAAATCTCAAAAGCCAAACAATAACATTGCTCATGCTCAGAAAGAAAAATATCAATTAGCCGGTCCTCTTAAAAATATCGGATTACCTAAAACAGAAAGCAGATGCCTTCAATTAATGATATAGTAACGGAACCATCTAAGGGAACTTAAATCAGTCAATCTTCTTCAAACCTCATAAATCAACCCATAAACTATCTATGATTCTGCATCTATTCTATTCCATACTTACTACCTAAAATCAGTAAACTTTTTAACAATAACTTCTTCTTCTACATGACAGACCAAAACTGTCCTAAGACATTGCATAACAATATTTTTAAAAAATTTCTGATAGAAGAGTTGTATCTAAGAGCATCCCAATTTAATCACTAATCAAACCCAACCACAAGTTTTCACATGAAAAGCAAATAGCTTTGCATTTCTGGAACCACTATCAATTCTGGAATTGTGAAACAAAATGACTATAACCCGACAGACATAAAGAAGATGACAAAAATTATAAGTATCTTAATGAGAAAAACTCAAAAGCGCTCTCAAATTTAGACCAAAAGAAAATCAATCAATTTGAAAGAATCCACAGAACTGCGACAACGTGTCCATTTTCAATATTATGACTGGTTAGTCCCCAGATGTCAGATTTCAAATCATTTGGGACAAATAAACTAGTCAAGAATCCACACACAAATGTCAAATACAAAATTAATGGACCACAGAAAGCACAATAGTCAACACCTTTAACCTTATATATTGATAGACATTAGTTAACGAAAATTAAAAGAACACGTCTTCACAAAAAACTACAGACAAATACCAAAAAGGCGTGTAGTTAGTAATATACTAAAAACTGATCTTAAATTAATAAAGTGGATGGATGTAATAGAAGTAATGTGTGCACGGATCTCAGTCCACGTAATGACCTAGTCCGAGTTTCATTGGGCCTAGTCACACGTGCACGGCCAAACTATTCAAAGAATCCCTCCAAACTCTTGTTCGCGTTGTCCAAGACCAACATGGAGCCCATAGAGATATTGAAGGCTTGGAAAGAGACAATCCAACTATCTACACCTTGATCCAAACCCAAGAAGAATCAAATGGGCCTCCAAGAGAGTCGGCCGAGTAGGGCCTTAGTCCTTAGTACTTGTTAGATTGGATTAATTTGTCTTAGTAGGTCATCGGGCCGCCCCATCTTGTCCACCAAGATGGTCGAACCCCTCTCCTTATTTCTCCAGGGTTTTTGGTAAACCTTAGCCTATAAATAGGCTTGCTTTGTAAGGTTTCAAACACAAGTTTTATGAATAAAATTCTTAGTATTTTCGATTTTCTTCTTAAGAGGGAATTCGAGCCTTTAACTTGCTTTGGCAAGGGTTCTTGAGCAATCTTGCGTCTTGTCCTGGATTGTTCAACCGACCTATCCACTGGAGTAGTCACCTTCGTTGGAGTCGTCGTTCTACCGCCTTTAATCAAATCGTGCCGTCCGTTTGATTCTAGATTCCGCAACCCAAGCGTTAGACAACCTCGCTAAATCCTTGGGCAACGTGCTACGTGTCTCGAACGAGTTGATCGAGGAACGTATCAATTGGCTTCAGAGCTTTGGTGGAGGTATCTTCCGTTATATCCGTAGTTTTGTCTTAGTTTTCCTTGTTTCCACTGCCTTGTTTTACCAAAAAAAAAAAAAAAATATTCTGTTCATATAGTTGTATCCTTGTTGCGCCGTTTTTCATTAGAAAAAAAAAAAAAAAAAACCAAATCTGTCCGCACTTTTCTTTCGTTGTCGTGTGAGTCGTTTGGGTAGAAAGCTGTCCGAGTTTGTTACTTCGTGTAGCAAAATTCTGTCCGCATTGTTAACTTGTCGCAAGTCTTCAAATTTCTGTCCGTTAGTTGCTTCTTCCATTGTCGTATCCAGTTGTTGTTGTTGCTTGCATTGAGTCATACCCGAACCTGTCCAGCTTTGCATCGCTTACCAAGAGGAAGAAAAAAATTCTACCGTTACACTTGTTTGTTGCATCAAAATTCTGGGCATATTCGTATTGCTTGTTGTGTCAAATCTGACCGTATCTTCTGTCTCTTGTGGCATCACAATTCTGTCCAAGTCGTGCATAGTAGTCACCCCAATCGAACGTGGTCATCAAAGAACAAAAGAAAGTACTAAGGGTCGCGGCTAGGGTTTCTATCGCACTAGGGTTTCGTTTGTGCGCAAGAGTTCTTGCTTCTAAATCTGTCCAAGCTTTGTTGGTGTCATCCAAGTGGTTTAGTTAATTTCCTAATTTGATTTTGGCTAATATAGTTGGGGTTTGGAAGATCTTGAAGAAAACCTACAAGAGCCTAGGGTTCTTGAGTTTTTTGGAATTAGTCTTGAACTTCTTGAAATTTGTGTGGGGTTCTTGGGAGAATTGGAGAAGCACATTAGAGGGCTGACCAAGTTGCTGGAATTTTATTCATTTGGCCAAGTTGTTGAGTTGTTCTTTCAGTCAAAAAAAAAAAAAAAGAAACGGAAAAGAAAAGAAAGAAACCCATTCGGCTAGGGCAAGGAGGCCGAGCAAGGAAAGAAAAGGAAGAACGTGGTTCTTTATTACCAAGTCAGATT